AAGAATCAAGAATCAAGTCAAAGTCTTATATAACATTTTTCAAGACTCGAGAATCGAGATTGGAGAATAAACAATTGTATAAGGTATGTCTGATATTTTCAATTAAGGCAACTTTGATTTGGGTTCTGATTTTTATTGATGCGATGATAACATTCTTTTAAATCCCTATTCTAATAAATGAATAATTTTAATCTCCTTTTGCCAAGTGTCACTCTAATACAACTCCTCATTAATATTATGTCATTTGTCATATAGATATATTAGGCAACTCATTTCAAAATTCAAATTTACATTTTCTAATTATATGTTAAATTTGAAGTTATAATAACTTTAAAATTTTGATATATCTATTAATTAATAATTTATTTAAAATAATTGATTAATAATTATAAATTTTTATTATGAAAGTTTAATTAGTTTTATAACTCGTGGTTCCCACGGGTTATAAACTAGTAATAACATAAAGAAAGCATAATCAATATTCAAGAATCACAGATCAATAATCAAGAATAAATGCAAAGTCTTATCTAACATTCTTCTAGAATCAAGAATTAAGAATCCATACTCAAGAATCAACATTTGTATAAGGCATGTAAGTTACTCTCAATTTCGAAAACTTATTATGCATCATTCTTGTTTTTGTTTTTGTTTTTTTAAATGTTAATATTCCATCTGGGTTTATTTAACTTGGATATGAAATTCTCGTACTTGATCTCTGTCGCTCCATTCTTACTACTCTTCCTACTGATGTGCTTGATTTCTAAAGAAAAAAATTGGCTAAACGATTTTGAATGTGAGAAAGAGTTTGAAATTCCTACAATTTATGAAGATTTCACGTTTATTCATTATGGATGTCGTATATTGAGATGATCAGGATGGATCCGAAATTACAAACACTTCCAAATTCTAATATGCGCAAAAACTTCATATTGCTCTTATCAAAGGTTTCTATTTAAACAATGGGCAATTACTAATCTAGCCAAATTAATGAAGTGATTAACAGTTTTTAACCAAAAATTAGGATTTGTCCCAAACTAGCCCACGAAACCGTAGGTGGTTAAAATGGCATATTGTTTCGCCCATTTACCTACTGTTTTAATTTTAGTATATAAAGATTTTTTTTTCATTTTTCACTACGAAACCGTAGACGAAAAAATGGTCTACTGTTTCCTCTGAGAAGTCTACTGTTTCCCAAAGAGTAGATTAAAAATGATCTACTGTTTCGTCCAAAACCTACGGTTTTGGGTTTTTTTTTTTAAGATGGAAAACAAACACTAACTTTTACTCTAAAAGAGATTTTTCTTTTAATATATAGTAGGTATGATATAGTAGTCAAAATACATGAATTAGTAGTCAAATACCCAAAAAAAACCCCAAAACCGTAGGTTTTTAGACGAAACAGTAGATTATTTTTAATCTAGTCTTTGGGAAACAGTAGACTTCTCATAGGAAACAGTAGACCATTTTTTCGTCTACGGTTTCGTAGTGAAAAATGAAAAAAAAATCTTTATATACTAAAATTAAAACAGTAGGTAAATGGGCGAAACAATATGCCATTTTAACCACCTACGGTTTCGTGGGCTAGTTTGGGACAAATCCTAATTTTTGGTTAAAAACTGTTAATCACTTCATTAATTTGGCTAGATTAGTAATTGCCCATTGTTTAAATAGAAACCTTTGATAAGAGCAATATGAAGTTTTTGCGCATATTAGAATTTGGAAGTGTTTGTAATTTCGGATCCATCCTGATCATCTCAATATACGACATCCATAATGAATAAACGTGAAATCTTCATAAATTGTAGGAATTTCAAACTCTTTCTCACATTCAAAATCGTTTAGCCAATTTTTTTCTTTAGAAATCAAGCACATCAGTAGGAAGAGTAGTAAGAATGGAGCGACAGAGATCAAGTACGAGAATTTCATATCCAAGTTAAATAAACCCAGATGGAATATTAACATTTAAAAAAACAAAAACAAAAACAAGAATGATGCATAATAAGTTTTCGAAATTGAGAGTAACTTACATGCCTTATACAAATGTTGATTCTTGAGTATGGATTCTTAATTCTTGATTCTAGAAGAATGTTAGATAAGACTTTGCATTTATTCTTGATTATTGATCTGTGATTCTTGAATATTGATTATGCTTTCTTTATGTTATTACTAGTTTATAACCCGTGGGAACCACGAGTTATAAAACTAATTAAACTTTCATAATAAAAATTTATAATTATTAATCAATTATTTTAAATAAATTATTAATTAATAGATATATCAAAATTTTAAAGTTATTATAACTTCAAATTTAACATATAATTAGAAAATGTAAATTTGAATTTTGAAATGAGTTGCCTAATATATCTATATGACAAATGACATAATATTAATGAGGAGTTGTATTAGAGTGACACTTGGCAAAAGGAGATTAAAATTATTCATTTATTAGAATAGGGATTTAAAAGAATGTTATCATCGCATCAATAAAAATCAGAACCCAAATCAAAGTTGCCTTAATTGAAAATATCAGACATACCTTATACAATTGTTTATTCTCCAATCTCGATTCTCGAGTCTTGAAAAATGTTATATAAGACTTTGACTTGATTCTTGATTCTTTATTCTTGAATAATGTTAGATAAGACTTTGCCTTAATTCTTGAATAGCATTAGATAAGACTTTACATTGAATCTTTGATTTTTGATTGGGAAAAAGTAAATATAACACAATAAAGTTTGGCCATTATATATATATATATACATATATATATATATATATATAGAGAGAGACCTAGGTTCAAATGTGGATTGACATCTATTGTGCGAACGTGTGGACATTGCTATTCTATGAGAATGACAAACAAAATATCTTGTTTGATAATGTGAATACGTTCAATCTTACATAACTATTGTTATTATAATCCATTCTCACTAATTAAAT